TTGTCAGAGGCTGACTTCTCTGTGTTTGACCCGTAGTGACTACTGCGAAGACTGGCCAGAGGCACAGAGGATCTTGGCCTCACTCCTGGACAGCCGGTCCTACGAAACGCTCGTGGATTTCGATAACCACTTGGATGACATTCGGAATGACTGGACAAATCCTGAGATCAATAAGGCTGTTCTGCACCTATGCTAGGCGGACACGCAGTGACCAGCCTGGGCAGCTCCACTGTGCTGAAGAAGAAACCTATTTTTAAATGTAAATAGAATATCTTGTAGCCTGTGTGGAAAGCTGAGAGTTTTATGAAATGGCATGTGCCTTGAGAAGGGGCAGGATAGAGTGTTCCATCAGCCGTCTCTTAACGCAGAGGCTCTAGAAGGGCACAGACCGTCCAGTACGACCGTCCCTGTGGAGTTTTTCCCGGTTGTATGTTGGTATAATCTTCCACATCAAAGCTATTTCTGCTTGTCCAAGATTGTTCCTATTAAACAGTTTTAACTAACCTTTTATAATCTGGAGAGAATACTTTTTCAGGCTTATGAACGATCTTTAACAACAACAAACAAAAGACCACATCTTATACTCCAATGAGTGTGTTTGTGAGTTTTTGTCCTGGCGGAGTCAGTGTCACACAGACATTCTGGGATGGGGCGGACATGTGGCGTGCTGGTGAGAAGCTGTGTGCCGCTGTCTTAGCGGTCACACAGCAGGTCCGTGCATAGCGCTGTCCTGCTTGGCGTTGACACAGCTGTGGTGATGTTGCACAGTGGGAGTGATGCCACTGTCGCCTGAGAAACCTTTATCATTAAGGGTAAAAAAAAAAAACATCGTTGGTAACGAGAATATGGATGAGAGTACTGTTCATTGCTACTCAGCCAACCAGAAAGCTTACAAACCTACAAAATGGAGAAAGGAAAAGTGGATTCCATGCCATGGTTATCTTTAAAAAGCAAGACTCAATCCCAACTCTTAACTGGCCGGCGTGGTCATCCAAATGGTTCTATCCTATGTCTGCAGAATAATAATTTATTTTGTATTTGGAAAAAACAAAACTTCCCCAAGTTGCACAGAGCAATGTCTGTAATTTTTATACTTAGAACATTTGGTCAAATTTTCTAACCCAATCTTAAGAAATTGATGGGGAAATTTATGGCACCATTGCATTTTTTCCTTTTTATATGAATTATTTTGTATAAGAATTCAGAGAATGGTACCTTTCCTACTGTTGTCTTTGACTTCATGAAGGAAATTTGTAACAGGCAATACGACCTATCGAAAGGTTTGTGATACAGCACTCACTATTTTAACAATAGTGAAAAAATTCAGATATTGCTTAAAATAAATGTCTATTATTTGGTCTATGAAATTCTCTCTTCCCTGTTCTTCAAATGCCTCTTCTCCGCAGCTTTGTAAACTGACGTTCTTTCGTGTGGGCAGCACAGAGGAAAAGCTGATGTAGGGCGCACTCAGGGTTCCCCCTCTGCCCTAGATGCCGGGGCCGTCTTGCTCCCCATGGGCTTGTGTGTATCCGGAATGGAGGAGAATCACTCTGGCTTCTGCCATACCAGAGATGCCCTTTCCTACAACAGGAGCACCTGGCACCTCTGGGTCAAAGTCTGGGGGGACTGGCAGAGCATGGGGAATCAAGGTGTGGCAAAGGCTGGTTTGGGGGCACTTTGAGATGCTGTCTTCCTAAAACCCTTCCAGGCAGTTTTCCCTTAGTCTTGACTCCCTGTGGAATCTCTCTGTCCTGCTCCCTCGAGCATCCAGAAGCACACCCTGCCCTCTGTGCTGGATTCAGCCATTCCTTTTCTACAGCTGAGTAAGGCTTAAATTTTCAAAAGAAATCATATGAAATATCCCAAAGGGACAGATACACTGTGAAAAAGCCAGAACAGATCTCCAGGTCCCTGGTCCTGTACTCGTTACAAAAATAGCAGAAGCCTGTGCTGAGCCATCCTGGTCTCGGCTGTGTCCCCTCCAGGCCTCAGTCTCCTGGTCCTTAACAACAGGCTTTGTTTTCTTCACCTAGATAAGAGCAAGCCTGTTCCCTGGCCACTGAAACTGTCTCATACTCTGGCCTTTTATAAAAAGAAAAAAAAAAGACATGGAGGAGCGATACAAATAGATTCATACACTAAACAACCTGCCCATCAAAAAGCTTTTAACCAATTTCCGGCATGTGAGCGGGAGTGCACCTGCCTGTCACGTGAGTCCAGGGAGGTCTGCCTCTAGAACTGGCCATATGCTTATCATTCTGGTGGACATTTTATTTCTAATCATAGTTGCCTTTAAGAACAGAATATTAAGACCAAGCAAGGTGGCTCATTCACACCAGTAATCCCAGCACTCTGGGTGGCCCAGGCGGGTGGATCCCTTGAACTCAAGAGTTCTGAGACCAGCCTGAGCAAGAGTAAGACCCCCATCTCTACTAAAAATAGGAAAATTAGCCAGTTGTTGTGGCAGGTGCCTATAGTCCTGGCTACTTGGGATGCTGAGGCATGAAGATCACTTGACCTCATAAAACAAAAAAGCAATGTGCTTACTAAGGATAAGTTGGCATTGCTAGTTGTAATGAAGTTACATTGCTTTGGAATAGAAAACTAAGAAATCTTGGGTAATTTAAATTTTCAGGTCAGTTTTCTATAGAATTGGTAAGCCGCCTCTGTGTAAAACGTCTTTGTCTAATTAGCTTTGGTTTCTTTTAATAGATTATTTTCCTGATTGTCTTCTTGGAAAAACTATTGTTTCTACATATTGTATTTCTCAGCTTTTAACACCTACCTTTTGTTTTATGTTGGAAAGACAAGTATCTGCTTCCCAAACTGCCCCTTTTTAGCAGAATCTTTCTTGCCAGCATCATGGTAATTGGAAGCAAGAAAAATAGTGCAGAGCAGCAAACTCCATGCCCTGGGGACATTTTTAGCAATTTTAGTGAAGAGAGCGGGATTTAAAAATAGACTTCCGCTTTACTAATTGACATTTCTTGAGGCTTCCCATCTACTCCCGGTGCCTCTCAAGCCTTGGACTTTGCTGCCCTCAGTTCAGTGAGAAGCCTTGGGGACGCGCGAGCCTGGCCCCTGCAACTCAGGTGCGTGGAACGCTGAGCGCTGATCGGGCTGCACTTTGCTACATCCTGACATCAGGGGATAATGTGAAGATTTTTATGCACATAACATTGACTTGGTACTCCTTAAAATACTTAAAATATCCTTGAATGGGATGCAAAATCTGACTAAGTTTTCTGCTTCTTAGAAGTGCTTGCCGTTCTGAGGAGCCGCCTTTTCCCTTTAGGGTTAACAAATTTCGGAAGCTTCCTTGAATGTTTCTGAGATGCTGCAATTGGAGAAGTGACCCAAAGGCTCTTTGGCATGAGATCCAGCCCAGCTTTAGAACAGCCAAGACTTGTCCTCCGGGGTCTTTTGCTTCCAGAGTAGTGTGACACGTGCGGCAAAGCACCGCTCGGATTTTACCGGAAGAAACCTTCGGCTGGAACTGAACGTTATCTTGTCAAGCACAACAGTATCCTCTGTTTAGTGTTTAGTGCTGGCTGAAAAAATTGGCAGATGCCATCACTAAATCTGCAGGTAAAGACCTGCATCTCAGAATAATGGCGAAGCTCTATGGGCATGACTTCTGCCCTTAGGGTCCACAGAGTTGGGAGTCAGCCCAGTAGCGCCCTCGGCAAGGTCAGCTCCAGGCACTGAATAAGGGAGGCCTCAAGGTGGGCCGGGACTCACTGGCCTCCGAGTTCTCTGCTTTCACCTCATACGAAAAGAGAATTATCAGAGTTGGACCTTCACAAAAAGCATCTGCCTCTTCCATCTAGCTGTGCCTCGGGCCCCCTTCCTAAGACAAGCTCGGGGTGCTTGTGGTGCCTGTGGTATCGGCTGACAGGAGGTCCTGGAGGATTCAGTGGTGCAGAGTGCTGGCCCTCAGTCCGTCTGGGTGTGACCCCAGCTTCATCATTGTCTAGTTGTCTGGCCTTGGGCACATTCTCTCTCTTCTGAAAATTGAGAGTGATAAGACCTACTTACAGTGATTTTATGAAGACCGGGGGAAGAATGCAGATGCTAGCACTTAGAATATGCTAGGGCTATATTGAAAAAAGTTTATAACTGCTAAGTTTTTAGTAATTCTAGAACATTCTTTTTACCAGACTGACCTGGGAGTATTTATTCATAGTAAACATTCAATGAAGGTTTATTGAATGAGTGAATAAAGCTATTCCTTCTCAAAAGATAGTAGTTTGCATTCTGTAACACTCCCACCTCAATTTGCCTTTCTCACAACCCTATGATGTTTCCATTTCATAGATGGGGAAACCAAGGCCCAGACTGCTGCGGTGACTGCCTGAGGCCCCATACAGGAAGTAGCAGAGGGTAAGACGGTGAGCAGAGAGACCACCTTTCCCCTCTCCCCGTGCCGCCCACCCTATCCTTGCCCACCTCCACCCCCGTTTTAATATAATCAAAATCAGCGTACTCTGTGTTCTTCGCTGACACTCAAAAAGAGACAGGAGCTCACTTTCAGTACAGTCCATTCTCCCGCCTCCTTCACTAAGACGAGAGTAGGGAGACAGCAGCCGCATGGCCCAGGGCCTGTGAGCACCTCGAGCGCCCTCTCTACTGAAAGGCAAAGAGATGGAAAGCCGGTGTGGACATTAGAGGGACCGACGATGTAATTTAAGAAGTAAAAGGCAGGCTTGGAGCCCATAGCACAGTGGTTAGGGCACATACACTGAGGCTGGTGGGTTCGAACCTGGCCCTGTTGTTGTAAACAATGACAAATGCAACAAAAAAAATAGCCGGGTGCTGTGGTGGGCGCCTATAGTCCCAGCTACACAGGAGGCCACAGCACTTTACTGAGGCGACAAAGTAAGACTCTGTCTCACAAAAAGAAAAAAAAAAAGAAGTAAAAGGCATAATTACAAGTGAAATACAAGGTAGGAAATTTGTTGTTGCTGCTGGTTTTTGAGACGATGTCTCACTTTGTCACCCTCCATAGAGTGCTATGGCATCATAGCTCACAGCAACCTCCAACGCTTGGGCTCAAGTGATTCTCTTGCCTTAGCCTTCAAAGTAGCTGGGACTACCGGCGCCCAGCTAGTTTTTCTATTTTTAGTAGAGACAGAGTCTCACACTTGATCAGGCTAGACTCAAACTCATGAACTCAAGCAATCCACCCGCCTCCGCCTCCCAGAATGCTGGGATTTACAGGCGTGAGTCACCACACCCAGTCTTTCAGACCACTTTTAATAACCCTGATCTTTGACTGTGAAGAATTTCAGATGTGCAGAGATGAAGCAGTTTACCAAGTGGAACAGGTCCAGCAAGGGCCTGAAGAAGTGACCAGAAGGTTGGACCAGGCCAGGCATGGTGCCTCACATCTGTAATCGTAGCACTCTGGGAGGCTGAGGCAGTGGATTGCCTGAGCACAGGAGTTCAAGACTAGCCTGAGCAAGATCAAGACCCTATCTCTAAAAATTAGGCAGGTGTTGTGGCAGCCGCCCGTGGTCCCAGCCACTGTGGAAGCTGAGGCAAGAGGTCTCTTGAGCCCAAGAGTTTAAGGTTGCTGTGAGCTATGAG